CCGGCATTACTATCAAAATGCGCATGACAATCGCATTCGATTAATCGTGCAGCCCTAGCGCGAGTCGATTTAAGTGTACTGACCTACTTTTGATTAATTCATCCAAACGTTGACAAATTCCGTGACATTCCGTGTTATACAGTACATTCCATTTATATGACTAGATTCCGCAATTCCGTCTGCGTTTTCCCCATTGCGGAAACCATAAATAGATAATATTGAGGTGTTTTGCAACTTCAGTGTAGTGGATTGTGATTTATTGCAACTTCAGCAACATCTGCTGCTGCCTTAGAGAGATAACTGATGCGTGATCACTGAAGCAGCTCCAGTTAGCCAGCGCTTTCGGTGTGTAAGTGCAAAACTTTCAGTGCCTTTAGCCTTCCACGCTGATTGGTCGGACTCTTGACTCCCAACAAATCAGATGGGCGGAGATTGCTCTAGGCCACAGAGTGGTGAGTTCCGACAGGCTGCATCAGAGCCAGATAGCGTGTTTCAAAATTAAATTATTTTATCGGCAAATCGGTTTTGAAAATGACCGATACCAATAATCATAAAAATGCTTAATATCTGCGTCGATAATCGGCCAGGCCGACAATCTGTCGACCCCTATTCTGAATCTTCAACTTACCTCCCATCCTTCCACTTCCAGCCCTCTCTTCCCATATACGTCATAGATTGCTCTAGATTGTGGATCCCTTAGTACTGCAAAAGAACATAAATCACAATCATGAAATATTCATGACTTGGTATTAAAAACTTGCTGGCTGTTAAAGGGATAATTCACCCAAAAATGACAATTTTGTCATAATTTACTCACCCTCATGTCGTTCCAAACCTGTATGACTTTCTTTCTTCTGTGGAGCACAGAAGATGATATTTTGAAGAATGTTGGTAACTAAACAGTTTCAGTTTTCATTGACTTCCATTACATAGACAAAGAATACAATGGAAGACAAAAGGGAACTGAAACTGTTTGGTTACCAACATTCTTCAAAATATGTCCTTTATTGGTTCAGTAGAAGAAAAAAATGCATACAAATTTGGAACAACATGAGAGTGAATAAATGATGACAAAATATTTATTTTTGGGTGGACGATCCGTTTAACAACAAAACAATTCCTTGACAGTAAAAACAGAGACATAACAATGCAGCAAAAGTGGCTTGCTTAGCAAAAGGCTTTAAAAGGCTGAGTGTGCAAAAACATCATACCTTCATAGGCCTGGTGAACCAAGTTAAAAAGCTGCTCTGCCTGCCTCTTAAGCTCTGGATCTCTGTGCTTGTCTGGGTGGTAGAGCATGCAAAGGCGTCGATATGAAGCCTTGAGCTCATCCTGTGTGGCCTGAATATAAAGTTAAACAGAAATAATTATTCATAAACCTAAACTACAGCATTGCTCTTGGGAAGCATAACATAAAAGGTGCAAAATCAGATCCAAAAACAAGTTCAGAAGTTGTAACCAAGACAAATTAAAATCCTTTCAAGACTTTTGTGAACACATCAGTTAATTAAAAAATTTATGACTTTCTGTTCTGTTTCATTAAGTTAGACAATATGAAAACGTCAGTTACCATTTGATCATATTGTATGCCAAAAGATAGCTGTCAGTCCCTAACATTCTGAATAACATGATCTCCTCAGAAGAAAGTTAAACTGGTTTTGAGCAACATGATAGTGAGTCTAGCAAAGACATGACAATCTTGTTTAATTGGTGTTTTTAATATAATCGGTAGCGTTTTCTTGATTGAAGTCAACACCTTAGAAGCAGTTTCACTTTTACAGTTGAGAATCGCCAAAAAAGAATCATTAGTGATTATACTTCACGTTTAAGTCTAAAGAGAACAGAAGGCATTTACATATTATATGCATCAGATCTATTAGTGACCATGCAGTCAAATTCCTGCATGAAGACAATGATAAGTAAGGGTCACGGTGTGCTGACTGAGCCACAGCTTAACGACATGCTGTCGGATCCTTTTTTAAAAGCGTGATACTTGAAGCGCCTGCATTTACCATTCACTTGCGGCACTCTCACCGAAAACGTCTACGTTAATAACTATTTGTCATACCTCTCTGCGGACGTTTAACAGAGAATAATAGTCATCATTGTCGATTTCATCTTCCCCCAAGGCCGCCGCCATATTTACCACCTTTCATCCCCGCCCCAGCGCCAGATCAAACTACGCTGACTTTGGTGCGCAGAAACGAAGCGCATGAAGGTCTTCAGCGCCACCCCCAGGCTGGGAGGAAACACTGACCAAAAGCATGTAGGGGCGAGTCCTCCGGGCCTGTCCCAATAAATATGCATGCAGATCCAATCCCCACACTCGCGGTCATTGCGCATTACCATTTGTCTACTTTCATGACGCATTTCCTTCCTGTATTTAGCTCAAGTCTTCAAGTGGTTATGAAGACCGCAAGTGTTGGTAGAACTTTTGGGACACACATGTACAACATGTACAATACTTTGCACTTTACAATAAACCTCTAAATGTGTGTTTAGTAGTCCATACATACCGTCCAACAGTTGCAAACGGTTAAGAAAATCCACATACTCATCTCTGCACCATTAAAATATGCAACACTTTATATGTTACAACTTATAACATATAAAGTGTTGCATATTTCAATGGTACAGAGATGAGTATATATGTAATTTCTATTAATTTAACTTAAACTAGAAAGTTTTCTTCGACATTACACGTTTCCGGGTACGTGAGTTCCTAAGCGTGCGTTAAAGTCGCTGCGCTTTGGCATTTTTTCCGAACTGGGACAGTCTTGCCCAGTTACTCCCTGTCGCATGCACTCACTCTCAAGATGACAAGACTGCAGGTGTGTGTATTGGGATCGCAATGTAAGCTTCAGTATGGTTAGTGCGACATTACAGAATATCCACAAAGAATATCTAGAAATGATAAATACATTCGAATTGTGGACTTAAAAGATGTTTATCAGACTTTTATTCATCCATTTTATGCATCCAACATTCTAGTTTAGTTTAATTTGATTTAATAATTCAGTTTAAAAAGTCAAACGGCGCCCTCTTTTGTTTTTAATTAACATTCGGTTAGTTAATGAGCTGTAGTTGACGTCAGACCCAAGTTCAGTTCCATTAGTGTTAGAAAAAATTGCCAATAATAAGTCAGTGTCATGTCAGTATGATTGTAACCTTTAAATAAGTCCACTTGGATTTTAATTACCGATGAATAAAAGTAGGCCTAGGCTAGGGTAGAAATTATTGTGACAAGTCAAATGGATGGAAACAAAGATGTTTGTGTGTGATGTAATGGTAATTAAGTAACGAGATAGTCTGTGAAGTCCTCTGTGTGATGCCATGTGTGATGCTGGCAAGAATAGATTGCAGATGTTCCATAAGGAATTGTGCTGTAGTATAATTTTCAGTCCCGTAGAGAATTCAAATGCCTCAAAAGCTGTATTACCAACATTTTTCAAGAGCTTCATGTATTATTGTTAGCCTTCTGAACACGTTCTAATCCTAAATTAAACCATTGCTATATACACAGTAGCCTACATATAACTTGATTTATTCAGTCAACAAATATGTTGTTTAAAAGTCACAGTGTTATGTTTTTTTCCATTACGAAGATGTTTCGTCTGCTAGACTGGCCCGAATGTTTTCTCCACTGGTCATTTAGAATATTTTATACAATCCAAGATTTTTCTCTTCGAAAATGAACAGATAAGGATTTGGAAAGCACTCATGTGATCAAGCAACTGCAACCAATAAAGATGCCGCTTTAATGATAACATTTCATAGCGGGTATTCGCTGCGGGCAGAGAGGCATTTAAGCTATTATCTATGTGCTCAATGCAATTAACGAATGCTTAATCTAACGAATAATTAATCAGCTGGTGTATAATGCGACTTCCATATTCCTAAATGCAGTTTTGAGGTTTTCTAGGCAATTCAGATGGGACCCAGACCACAGCATTATGCATATACTATTGGAATAGGCTGTCAGAAACTATTTCTCTCGCAAGCACAGCAGTGTAGGATACTTTTCGGATACTTTCAGTGAACCATAAGACATTTTGGAGGTCTGGGGTGCTACATTTTTCGTGAAAGCGCACTGTGGCAGTAGAACACTGCTGCCACCTGGAGCTGTCCGTTCAGCACCATGGCGCAGCGTTTCAGCGCATTCAGCCCAAACGTTGCTTCAGCTTCAAGGTTAACCTATGGATTGCTTTATATTTATCTTAATGAAATCTTAATGATCTTAATTGCTTTAACAACATAAAAAGCAGTTTTAGTAAATTAAAGTAAATTGTAAAAAAATTTTTTGTCATAAAACATCTGCCATTTTACGTGATTTTATGAGTTTTCAGCTCGATTTCATTCATTAATGCTTAAATTCAAAGTGGTTGAAAGTTAAGTTTTCAATCTGAGTAGAAAAATATTACAGTGCCTTCTGGTAGCAGAGCTATGATATGAATAAAGGCCTTTTATCAAAAAACGTATACATAACGTATAAATGACCTGACTTGAATTGCTTACGAATGAAATGTCAGCGCAAAAAGCTCAGAAAAATACGTTTTCTGCCTTTGAATTTAGCAACTTGAAACATTTCATTTGCACTCGAACGTCTCACGAGCGCTCACTTTGGATTGGTTCGGTTCTTCTTAAGGTGTATCTACACATCACGCTTCACCCAATGGTTCTCAGAGACACTTTGAAGGGGAGGATGTTTGCTTTGCTCTCGTAAGCCATTTTAGAACAATATGGTCAGTCATAGTTCGACAGCCAATCGTGAGTGCGCTCTGGCTGGACTTGCCTCTGCCTCGCCAGTCCCTTCTCGTGCTGCTGTCCTCGACGTGAACGCGCGTGGTACCCAACGCTCCTGAAGAGGAGGAGGAGGATGTGGCGCGCGGAGGGGAAATGGCTGCCGAAAACAAGCCGGAAGGTAAGTCAGAAACATCGGGGATATTTTTTTTACTTGTACGACAAAAAGTGTGCGAGGGGAAAAATTTGGAGGCAGGCAGGGAAGAGCCGCCAGTTGAGAACCGATGAGCTTTTGGGATTGTAAAGCCTCTGTGTTTATCCTCACACACTCGTTATTCCAGCACGGAGACATCACATCACCCTAGCCAGCATCGGTAGCTAGCCAGCAGTGTGCATCACATACATTTAAAAACAAGCTGGAGCAAAAGCGCGAGCGCCTCTGAAAATTCAAAAATCCGCCTCGCGCTCCGTTTCCTTCAGCCTAACGGTCGCGCTCAAAGCAAAACTTGTGAGCCGCAGCGACTGTCGATTTCCAACTTCTTTTTTCGATTTATCAAGCTTCCTCGGTTGCTTAAATTGTTTCTGAGTTGGCGGGGATAAAGTTCTGGAGACCGTAGTTTGACCTAAAACGACCTTATAGCAAGGACAAAAATAAATAAATACTGCTGGTAAACTAGTTTAATAGTAGATTTTTTTCTCTCAGTCACTTTCATGCGTACATAGACTCCAACTGACCTTCCTTTTTAGCGGTTTTGTGATATGTTGTCAAAACAATTTCACTTTGAAATTTGCTTCAAGGACACATTCTTCCATACCAGTTTGGCCCCTTTACGGTAGATACATATAATCAGCAGTTTAAATCAGAACTAGATTCTTTTATAACCAAGGAGTCTGATATTTCAGGACCTGTATCAGGACCTTTATAGAACCTATGGAATGTGGCGCAAAATGAAATTAGATTCTTTAAGCCAGGAAGAAAGAAAGAAAGAATGTTATTGAAGATTATTCATAACAGTTTCTCTTTAACACTGTTTCGAATACTTCTCAGATTTGTCTCTCGAATGAATAAGGCAACAAGAGTTGGTTTCACTCTGAGACGCTCTAGTACAGTTGAATATATTGCATCTCCACAGCATGTCGCTGCTAAATTAGGCTGAAATACGATAAAAAAAGAGACTAATTGTTATTGTCAGACGTGGTCAACAGTATTGTTTTTAGTATTATTGAAGCTGTTTGACAAGAATTACATTTTGAACAGTTGTGTCAAGCTGCCACCACTCTCATATGAGAGATTTATTTGTATACGTAATAAGAAAATAAATAAAACGTATAAACAACGAGGTTTTGGGAAGTCGTCAATTATAGTTGCGAGGATTTTTGTGTGTGTAATTCACCTTCAGTGTGAGATCAAAGCAATAATTGGTCTATTAACCACAAGGTGGCGACATTGAGTTATAAGAAACTTTATTTGGGGAAAACGTGATAAAATATCTTGAAAAAAAAAAAGATTGGCTAAAACAAATATAAAAATACAGTCTATAATCGTTTTTGATAGTTAACAAACTAGCCCCTAGGGAACCTTTAAAGACAACAAAATTAGTGTGAATAGCCTAGTAGAAGGTGAAAGATAAGTTTGATTATAAAACCTCACTTTTGTGTAGTAAATTATACATATTGATAAACTATAGATAGAATAAATTATCCTAATATAAAGTGACATTAAAACATGACTCCAGACAAACCCGGGGATATGAACATATAGAAATCCACAAGGGGGTGGTATTGAGCTTCTTAAGTGCTCACTGTTATATTTTTACCACCGTGACAGCTAAGAATACAAGCATTACCATAAATATAAATCTACGTTTTTTTTTGTTCAAAACAGCACTGAGGCTAACTACCTAAACTAGCTATCTCTTTGTGTGTGAATGTGTGTGATTGTGGGTGTGTGCATGTGTTTGTCAATCTCTGCATGTATGTGTGTGTATTTCAGATGCAATCACAACTAGCCTTGAAACGTGTCTCAGACTGGCTTGCTTCCTGTCAATGCATCTCAGTAGCTAAGAGCTTTTGATAAACCCCGACTTGTGACTCCCATTGCAGAACGGGCTTGGTTATTTTTGTCATGCTTGTCAGGTCAATGTATGGGGGAGGAGCTAGTGTTCCACACCTCCATATTAATATAGAGTGCTCTGCACCATATAGCTACAACTAAATTCAGAGTCCCATATAGCCAGCAGTGTGTTATATTTAATATCTAGGCCTACACACTTTCAGCATGTAGTTTGCCATTATACGTGTTGCACGGCATTCATTTGAGCACTGATTGTTGCCTGTATTTTAACCTTTTGTCCTTGAAGCATTTAAAATGTTTGCATAGAGCATGGTTCTCCAGGGCCTTATTATTTGGCAGGGTTTTTTGCACATAAGGACAGGCTGTTCTTAGCTGGAGGCTGCTATGAAAACATGGTTAATATCTCACGCACCCCATAGAGTTCTTCTGTCTCCTGATATGACCCAGCTCATTTTTTAGATTGCCAGGAACTGGGACTGTACCTATGGAAGGTGGCGATGGTGGATTGAGATGTGCAAGGGTACTGTACATTTAAAGGGACAGTTCACCTAAAAACAAAAAACAAATAATTACTCACTGTCATAATTTTCCAAACCTGACTTTCTTCTGTGAAACACACACACACACACACAAAAACACACTGTGAGATGAATCTGCTCTCGGACTCTTCTGGAATCTCAAAGTTGGACTCATTCGGTTCAGCGTGAGACGAGCAGGTGTTTCATTCATTTCTGTTCAGTTCTCTCGTCTGCCTCCATCTGTCCATCGGCCTTTCAGCCAATTCAACGCCGGTCCGTTTGTACAAAAAATAATTATATATATATATATATATATATATATATATTAAGGACATGAGGGTCAGTAAATGATAACAAAATATTATGCTTTTTGAGTAAACTATGGCATATACTATGGGAAATTTCATTTAACATATTTCTATATCTATTTGAATTTGGTGCTTTTTTTCAGATACTAGAGTGCTGTTTATCAAAACAACTGACTATTAGTAGAAGCAAGAAGGATACAAGCTCTCCAAAGAGTGATTTATGACATATTGAGCCATTATGTAGAAAATTAACTTTTAAAGATCTCTGCATAGTCTTTTTCCACAGTTCTTAGTTTGAGAATATGCTTTGAGATTAAAAAAAAATTTTTTTTTTAATTGAATTGGTGAATGGCAGGGATAGATGGAGATGCCACTTCTTCCTGGGGAGTTGTGACAGATCCTTTCAGCTTGTCTCGATCCTTCCCTACCTGCCTCACACAGAAACTCACATTAACTTCATCGATTGGTGTAGCTTACTAAAATTGAGCCTCACCAAACATCCCTGGGACCACAATGAATTTGATTGCTGCCCTCATTGCTACCTGTTAGGGGCTGTTTCTTGACTGTTTATTTCAGCACCTACAGATTTATCAGTAAGATTGAAAAGTGAAAAAATTCAATAAAAACAGGCAAACACGCTCAACATATCAGGTGATTTTGAACAAACCAGTTAGCATTGGAGTTACTACTGTATATACAGTGGTCTAGATTGTTTTCTCTCTTGGCAGTGTAACACTTCTAGCCATTAACATCTGGAGCCATTTATGATACTTTATTATAGTTAATGAAATGTGCATGTGGTCTTAAGTTACAAGGGAACCAAGTGCTTTTATATTCCTCGTCCATACCCCTGCATGCAAATGAAACTGCATTTTCTCCCCACAAGGCAGCACCTTAGGCCAAAGTAATCCCTTTAAATGCACCCCTGAATGTGCTTGATAAAAAAGGGGGAGAAGCAAATAGGCACACTGAACTCTGAGGCCGAATGGTGCATATTGTTTGGGAGAGGTGTTCTTCAGCATGGAGATGGACACATTTGGGATGCATGGGCTTGCTGTTGGGAGGGAGACTGGGGTTCGGCAGACACGACATTGCTGACCCTGGTACACATTCTTATAAGTTCCTGCTATGTGCATGGGGGAAATAAAGAATAAGACAAAGTTGTACATCCGGGAATGTGTACTTTTCCCAGAATTCTTTTTTTCTTCTTCTCCATTCTCTCTTGGCTTCCTGAAGGACTGAAGAAAATCCGTAATCCGGATCGAATGTACAGATCAGCTGTGTGTTATTCAGCCCATGCTCCTCCTAAGAGTGTCAGTGATGACACAGAGACGAACAGTAAGAGCTGCTTATTAATATTGCATTCGTGGCATTGCTCGAAGGGGCCACTTGCTGCCTAATCTATTATTCATCCATTGATTCATTTATTTACCTCTTGATTTCATTTGTCATCCTCTCCTCCCTTGGGACTTCATGTTGGGGCTTTCTGTGATGATTGACGAGTTAGTGCTTTGACGGGGGTATGTTGTCGATATCAGATGTGTTGTTAGTAACTGAAAGTGACAGTGGGTGGGTAAGATCTGGCACACCTTGGCTATGTACACAATGTAAAGCTTCGGGAGTGACAACCGCATTTAAAAATGGGAGTGAATCCACTGAATTATCATTTTGTGTGTGTATGGAACAGAACTGACTCTGAAATTTCCATGATTGACACCGTGGTAAACATAACAACATCCTGGCGTATCGCACTTGATAGCCGCTATTTTTGCCCAAAGTAATATTACAGTGACCAAAGAACTGATATGTTTTGCCATTTTAACTAAACCACTGTCGACAAAACTGTCATGTTTTGTTATGTTGGGAAAGCTGTTTTACAGCGCTCTTGAAGTGTTGCCATGTTAACTTATTCTTTGTTCGGGCTCACTCATTATGGAATTAATAAAGTAGGCCGGTTCAGGTCGTGAACATTTTGGTCTTATTTCCAAGATAAAGTATTTGGATTTATTTACATTTATTATGGGCTTGTTCTTGTTTGCTGTCTTTTCTGGCAAGATCTGGCAACACGAATGAGTCAAGAAGACATTTTAAATATGTCATTAATAACTATTTATTTAGTTTAGTACGCACTGCATTCGATTTTTGTAAATGCGGTTGTCACTAGCTGAATTTTTCAGGACTTAATTCTGTTGTGGTGGTCACTCCCATAAATGACTGAACTCTGTGTGTACAGAACAGATTTAAGCACTAAAAGGTGAACTGACAACCAAATGTAGCTGCAGTGTGTATGTAACCCTTGTGTTCCAATTGCTAGCATTGACCTTTGAAAAACATCCATCCAATAGCACAGCAAGACTGAGCTCTACTATTTGTTGAAATTATTTGTCATCACTACTAGACACATTTCCCCTTAGAGTATAAAACATGCATATTTTATGTTGGACTTTATACATAAAGTATTTGTTGTGGGATCATGTGCATGTTAATACGGCTTGGTGTGTTGTGGAGCTCTTATTACAATAGAAGTGACACTGTTCTCATGTTTAATAGGCAGTTTATCTTCTCTCTTGGCACTTCTGAAAACTTAGTTGATCTGTGTAATTAAGACCATTCCTTTTTTTGTGTAAATTTGTAAGTGGAGTTAAATCAGCCTCATCTTATTGTTAGCTGTCTGCTCATTATGCCATTGAGAGTGAGTCCTTCCCATTTCAAAGCTCAAAGATTTTAATGAACATGCCCAGAGATGTAAAGTAAACGGCAGAAGCGGCTGTTTGTAGTCATCTTGAAATTATTTCAGATGGTGTGTGTATAGTGAACATGCCATCTGTGTATCTGTCTATGCTTTAAATATTGCATCTCACACTCTCATACTCTAGCATAATGTAACCGCTGTGTGTGCCTGTCTGTAGTGGCCCAGTTAATGTTTGGTGCCTAGAGGTTTTCGTATCACTAGGACAGTAAAAATGCAGCATGGCTTGGCAGAAACAGGTAAACCACTCATGTGAGTAATTGTGGGAGTAGTTATGATAAGGATAAAGGGCTTTAGTGAGGATCTGGCAGCGTGTCCTTTACTGTCTGCTGTGTGCGAGTGAATGTGTGTGTGCTCGCAGGTCCTCACCTCCTCTCTCCCTGAGATGGGATTTTCATGGATGGGTGAGCTTGGCTGAGGCTGAAAATACATAAGAAGGCTCGTTTTTCTCTTCAGTTTGTTGCAGGCACTTTGGTAGCTGAATTAAGTCGCTGTTTTGGGCTTTGTGGATTCAGGCCAGCCTCCTACTGTATCTGAATGCCGACAACTTTTAGATGAGATGTTCGTAATGATTTAGCCAGCGTAGAACCAAAAAGGCTGCATAGTCCAGATTTAATTTAGAAATAACGTTCACTATGTGAAAAAGAAATACAGTACAGGCAAACTTCAGCCAGAATTGTGATCGCTCTAGTGGATATGGCTGGTCACTAATGTCTGCTGAGAGCTCATCAGATGTACCCAGGTCTCGGACATCACCCATTAAACCACATCAGTGTTTTAACAAGGCTGCCTGCTGGTGATTTGTCACAATGTGTATAGCCAGCCTGACAAACAGCACTATGGGCAGACATAGCTGAACACTGCTGTGTAGTATGTCTAGTCTGAGGATTCAGGGCTAATATTGAAAAATAGAAAGTGTCTCAGTATTTCTTATGGCCATATACTAGCAGCATTCAAAGGCAGTGAAGGCAGACAGTTTGTCCATACATGTGGCTGGTTCACATTATTAATGTATTCCTAATAACACATTATGCTCCTAATATGAGCTCACTTTGTTGTCTGCCCTTTTACAGACAATATTATTGCTTTCTAATACATCAAAAAGTTGAACAAGAACATAATCAGGTGAAAGAGAGATGCTGATATGATGTTGTTTGTGCTCCTTAATTTAGACAACATAATCCTTTTGCTCAGCAAAGACCAGGTTTTTGCAATTAATCAAGCATTGATTTTTCAAAGAGCAATGCATGGAAAAGAAGGTATGTAATGTAGTTTTAAATAGATGGCACTGATTAATCACAACAACACAATAAAAGACCACAAAGCATTGTATGCAGCAAATCGTGGACAGGATTGTGGATTATTTCCTTTAAACCCAGATTTTTGGACAGAAAAAAAGGTCTGTCAAAAATGAATGCTTAATGGCCAAAGTTTGTAAAGCTACAGTTGAAATAGGACTTATACAAATCAGTTTAATCTTATAATAAATCTATCAAACTGCTATGAGATGCCCGTTAATATAAAAAAGTTTTAAAGGTCCATTACTTTTGCACTTTGGCTAAAGTGCCATTATGTCTGTCGTCAATGTGCTTTATTTTTCTAAAATAAAAATATGAAGGTCGATATTGCTATTTGATTAGCTGTTAAACATACAACCTGTCATCCACAAGATCTAAAGCAGAGTCACATGCACATTCATAGTAATGGATGCCAGGTCTAAAAGGTTTAAGATGTGGTTCTCTTTATTATGCCCTCAAGAGATGTTCAGTCACTCACAGTCAGTCGTGCCAAGAATAATTTTCTTACTTCTCACAACTATCACGCTTAAGTGTAATTGATTGCCACTGAATGGTAGCATATGATTTAGTCAACATTATGCTGGTTCAGATGGCTTTTGCTATTATGCTTCAATCCATGTTTCTTTTATTTCTTTTTAAGATAATAGCAAGGTCTGTTTCTTACAATGTAGAAGTACTCTCAGTCAGGTGGTAATTGTGACTTAGAGTTGGGCCTTGTTCCAGGTAATCATTTGTTCCTAGTTTGACATCTGTTTAAGAAAATTGATGGTTTATTTTGAGTCATTGATTTATTGATGTGGTGGTTTCAAAGATTTCATGTGGTGATTCTGTCTCTTAGATGAGATAAACTAATTCATTGGACAGTTAGTGAGTGGAATATCAGTCATATGTAAATGGTGGAAATGAGAAGCCTGTGAAACTCTTTTTATACACATTAATTCATTGTATGTCTGTGGTAATTCAGCTTGGCTTTTCTAACAGCTGTCTAGTATTTGCTTGTGGGCCTTGTGCATACATTTCTGTCGTTTGTACTTTAAGCCTTGTATGCTTGTCTCTTCTTAATCCATAATGTTTTAGAAGCTACATCTAAATAAGTTGTCTAGCAGGGTTCTCAACATATGTTCTCATTGGCCATTATTACATTGCTTTAGAATATTCAATAATAAACATGGTATATGATTTTCCCAAAACCCACGTTTCTCTCAAAATGTAGTCACTTATTAGTCACTTAAATTTAGTTTTTCTGCGAAAAACCAGATTTTCACAGACTTTCACAGACAAATTTTAAATTAAATGAATCAAAATTTGGGCTCCACATTAATCAGATTCAATCATGATATGGCATAGTCAAATTTTAGAATGCAATGTGATTAAATTATATTAAATAGAAATTTGATGCAGGGAAAATTCTAAATGTCATGGCCTATAACAAACAAATGACCAATATTAAAATTCTATGCTATTTTGTCTAAATAAATAAAAAATAAAACACCAAGAAAAAACAAATTTAAATGCTACAGCTAAATTTAGGTATTAATTAATTAGCATGCACAATTAAATATACAACATCACTGGTACTGATATATCACTCAACCCTAAAAAATAATGCTAATAATTAGGGCTGTGCGATATATACCTTGTTAAATAATGCGATATTCGATATGCGATACGATATTGACTTAAGTGTGTAAAATCAATTAAAATTATATTTTTAAATATTTAAAAATGAAAATGATATAACCATTAGGCCTATATGTTTCACTTTCACATTCTTTCTTGGAAAAGAAAGCATCACTACAGCTTCTGAAAGTGACCAGCAGTGTTTTAGCATTACATAAAAAGTAATGTCACAAATCAGAAAATGTAATTTTAACATCAATGTGAACAAACAAAAAATGAATGCCACTTATTTTATATCAATGTAACTTTGCTTTGTTTATTACTTAAAGTGCACTTTAAGTACTTCTTCATATACTACAGCAAAAACTATAGCCTAAGAAAGTCAAACAAAACAAAACAAAAAGAACAAATACACAAATTACAAGCATAGTTAAAATAAACAGTAGTATTCAGGTACAAAAATATAATAATTAATTGTAAAATAACACTGCATAGTGTTCACTGTATGAATTAAATTTAGATTAATCTTTGTTAAAGCTGTGTTTTTGATTAACATTAGTGACATATTCAGCAGCAGGTATTTATATGCTGCTGTCCCTTTAAGACTGACTGCACGGATCCAGTATGATGATACACATCCGATTTCTTTCTCAGCTTTTTACATTCATTTA